AATCAACTAGTGATTGATATATAGGCTGTGCAACAGTTCACATTGGGGATTTCGAAACAACCATTTTGGTTCTGGTCTTATGTCTGTTAAAATAGACGCATAATTTTATGTTCAAACCTAATCACTATCTGCCTCAGTGTTAAGTATCACCCGGAGAAAGTATCAGTTGAAAAATCCCAAGACTAAATAAGTTGTAACACAATATTAATCCGTGTGGTTTCCGACTATAGGTATAGACCACGAAAAGATATATTTTTAGAGGTCCAAAGGTTAATGGAAATGGATAATTGTTGACTCTTAACAATATTACTCGAAACTGATCACAGCAGTGCAGATGCATCAGTGTCTTATAATTCTTTGGTTCATAATAGCGTGCTTTGTCGTTCCTAAATATCGATCCCTCTGTATCACGTCTCTTAACACTTCCGATCAGATTTTGTTTACTTATTTGCAAGTGACCTTGTGGACTTCCCCTCCAGTGAGCTCATCTACTGTGAAGCTACATGAAGCGTTGATTAGAAATACTGAATCCCACCTTGATTATGCTTGTTTGAACCAAGACTTAGCGATCAAACATGTCAGTGTTAAATTTTACTTATTCACGAGCATAGTTATGCTCAGATTTTAGGCAGAAAGCTTATATAGATGCAGATCAGCAATAAATATTGTTAGTTATTAAACGCAACAAAGTTACTTTAATCGAAATCCATCTCATGTTTAACTTAACAAAAGCAAGTATAAGATACAACCTTTGTTGTCTGTTTACCAAACCCATTAACTTTATCATTCATTGAACGATGAGGTAGACGAATAGTGAATGTATATCTAAATGATTTAACAGGAATATTAAATCGACTTTTTCTGACTTCTCAGACATGATGATATGTATAAGAATAAGAAATTTATGTAGGAGGGTGAACCACCTTAGTTTATTGCAAACTAAAAAGGCACAAAAAGAGGAAATCAACTCAAATGATAACATTATATGGTTAAAAGACACGTGTATAACACAATCAAATGCAAAGGACAAAGGATTATACCTTTCCTGGAAGCAATGTGGTCAAAATAGATTATTTCATTGACATAAGATAGTGGTTCATGTGTATAAATTTTTAAAAGCCGGCAAATTATTTGATCCTTTTAATGCAGCATTTGCATGACTAAGAATATAGTAGGGAAACCCAAAGATGAACTTCTATAAAAAACTTTTAAATAAAATGATCTGAAGCATACTGAAACACTATTCTGTCAATCCATATCTTATTAAACCGAAGTCATTTTGAAACAATTATTTCATTCTGAAAACATGCTATAGTGTGTAATTAAATTACCGAAATTTTAGTAAAATGTTGTAAACCTCTGAGGTTTTTATCAAACAATCTTTTTGTTTAGAAGTTTCGGAAGAAGACACATGAACCAAAATAAAAATATCAGATTGGTCGAAGAGACAAAAATCATCAGGATAAATAAATCTAGAAAGGCCTGGAAATAGCCAAGGCCATTTTAACTATATATAAACCCTTGTATTTTGTGTAGATTTTCGATTTTGCAATGCACCTTCTGTTTTCTTATCATCTTTTCCGTTTATCAAGAAGCTGAGAGACCAACAAGAGGTGAAAGTCTTAAGGTTATTGTTTAAGCCTCTGCATATATATATATATATATATATATATATATATATATATATATATATATATATAATAAGTCATATCAAGTAGGCTCCACAAGGATAAAACAAATGGAGACAGGATTACATATGTAAAAATATTGAGCACAGTGTGAATTAAGTAAGTACTTAGTGAAACAATCAGCATAATGATTTACAAAACCCTAAGAAAGTAGTGAGTAACTGCGTTTGAATTTTATTCTTAACGTTGAATAAATATCATGTACGAAGTATTTTATTGCTTTTAGTTTGAAGATTTTCAACGCATTTTATTACATATTATAATGTTAAGGTGAATGGAACTTGTTTCATGCAAATAATTCTCATTTTTATGATAAAAGTCCTAAACAAAATGAGAGGCTAATTATCGTTCATTACTTACATGATTTGTTTCAACTTCAGTGACATTTCATTCTTAAATTTCTAATCATTTTGAGGTAGATTTATACTTTAAATTATACGGCTGAATGCATTTATGTCAAATATATATCACACATGTTTTGTTGAAGAAAAACATACTTAAAAGTCAAGTTATATTTGTTGCAGATATAACTTATTACAAAAATCGAGAAGAAATGGAGTAATTATGTGACCGTTAATACTTCAACCACTAAAACATGAAGAAAGTAATATTATGCTCATTTAAGAACAATAAATGTCTTTTTTGTGTAACTAGTTAAACTCAAAACTAATCACAGTGCCACAAATGTACAACCCTGTAAAGCTAGGATAATTCGTAATAATTATTATTGGTGGTCCTCGGTCTATGTCTATTACCTTGGCAATCTCAGTTTATTTTCAGTTCTTCTGCTCTTCTGAACCTTCTTTAATTTAAAAAGCTTGAATCAATGCACCTCATTCAAAAATTATGTTTCATTTCCATAAGTTCTTATGCATAAACGTCTTCATACTTCTGATGACTTGGTCAGAGATATAAACACATCAAACAGTGGTATGTAAACAGTCTCACCACTAACAGTAAAGGCAAAATTATAGACAAATTACTTGGGAGGTTGACGGCAAGAAAAGATGTTCACTGAATCACAGCGAGAAAAAAAGACAAATAAGGGAGAATTTTTTTTCGGCGAATCCATTCAATCAAGTTGTGTAGTCTTGCTTATTGTGAAGAATGAACCGATCATCAGCGCCGAGTTATTTGAGCATTTCCAACCACCTGGTTACGTAGTTTTTCACCTATATTATTTCGTATATGAACAACTCACCAAAGTTTGTCATCGCTAAGTGTCTCGGTATTCTTTGATCAATCATAAATCACTTAAATTCCCATAGTGTGTTGAACTCCTTTGGCTTTAATCACTCATCAAATAATATCAGTTTATCCATTATGCCGGTGATTTCCCTTGGTATATGACCTTTCTTCTGTATCACTTCAGGAAAGTTGTTAATTTGGATGTCAGTACACCAAAACAAATAGTTCATTGCGGAGAAAGTACGATCTCATGTTTATATATGGGGTAGGGCCAGTCACTTAACTCAAACCTCAACATCGAGTACACAAGAAGTACGCTCAATCTTCCTATTTACTATGGTTGTTTATCAATATGTTGTAGGGCAGTTTCTTCCAGTCTTAGGAATCATTTATGCTGAGTGCTCCTCGAACCAATAATAACTGAATCACTCAGACTCTACATCAGTTTTTGCACTGTTTACAAAATCTTCACAAAGTTAAAACACACACATAAGTAAACTCTGTCAACAGGAAGTCTAGGGCAATTCAAACCATGGGCTTGATAAAATGCTGAAGTGAAGATGAAGCGACATTATTTAATACCACAGAATGCTTTTATCCGATGTCAGTAACCTCAATAACTCCATGCGATGCCAAAGTGAAAACGACCCAAACGGTTAAAGTTGTCAACCAACGGTTTTCTAGTGCAACAAATAGTGTCACTGGAAGTCAGCACCTTAAAATCTCAAAAAGCGGTGGTATTTCGACTGTTAAATCATGTGGTCACTTTATGAAACTTTTCCTAGTTTCGATAAAACTACATTTTGGAGAGTCTGCTCAATAATAATGAGACATCATTACTGAATAGGATCCAGGTAGAAAGTTCATCGTTTGAATGGGGCGCAGGTATTAAGAAACATGATCAAAAGATAGAGACTAGATTCGTCAACGGTTTCTCTAACCTAATTCCTGAGGAGCGATTATTTAATGTGTTTTATTTTCACTGTTTTAATTGGGCTCAAAAGAGACCACATACTAGACTATGTGTTAGTACAGCATGCTGATTACCCATTTGACTGCAATTTTTCAAATTTCTTTTCCTCTTAAGCGACTAATATTTGAGAGGTTGTCACAATAAAGTTCAAAAACCATGATAGAATGAATTTGGTGTCTCTCCTACACAGTGTTTGTCGACTCTAACTGTTAGACTCAGCAAATGGTATCTGCTTCTCCAGTTAATTCTTCCGAAGAAAAACTAGATAATTGCAAAGAAGGCTGCCCCATGGATTAACACAGAAAAGCTATCGTACTATTCTGATAACAAAATACCAAATCCTCAGTCAAATTGTTTTCAGAAATCTGTCTGTTGGATAAAAATATAACTGAGCATTCTCTCATGGCTTATTTCATAAAAGAGTTTCGCTAACGTTTTTGTAGGGATATTAGATCTTTGGTAGACTGAATATTGGAAAGATTAATACAGATCACTTGATCATTTACACTTATTCATAAAGTTTGGAGCTTACAGTTCTCCGCAATGAAAATAAAAGTCATATACTTGCGACCCAAACCAGTAGCCTTCAGGCGATGTTTATGAAGCAAGAAGAGCAAAAATTGTTACTTCACTTTATTAGGGTAAAACGCAGAAAAAAGCGATGGGATACTTCTTCAACCATGACAACACAGTACCAACCCATAAAAATGACGACTGGATCAAAGAAATATGCCTCCCTGGAAGCCCAGTTTGTGAGACTAGTATCACAAACTGGGTTACACTTGTGATCTTGGATAGGAAGTTGCAATGAAAGTTATCCTACAGTATTTCAGAAAGCATGTTAATTCTTTACCATAGCAAAGTTAATACATTTCCTAGAATCCAAGAAAAAACTTGTATTTTTGGTAAGTGACCAAATTATAGCAACCAAATTATAGATCTCCTTCTCTTTTGCTACACACATTTTATATAATTCAATCAGAATGTCTTTCACCTCGAACTTCTAGAAATAGAAACGCATGGCTTAGAGTTAAATAACGAGTCCCATAGGTATAGGTATTTTTATTATACCAGTGGATTTAGCTACCATATGTTTCAGTGACCTATCAAAATCAAAAAATCCTACAGAAAAATGATTTCTAAAACATTACTTTTTTTGTTGTTCCTTGGCGAGCATAGCTTCTGCCAAAGCCTTCTTACGGTTGTTAAAATCCTCACGCTTGACCGTTTCACCTGTCCCTCTGTAACCTAGTTCTACAAGCTGTCGCGCCAATTCTTCATCCTGAACACTTCTTATCTTCAAAGTAAAAATGATTACCTCCAGGTAGAAAAGATCTGTTGCAGTTATCTGAGAATCCAGAAAGTCCTCATAAGTTTCAAACTGTGTCACCGCATTATCCAAACCAGCAGGAAGAGAAATTTGATCGTCCCTATTTCATGCGTTCACAAAAATATAACTCACATTCTATTTGGGCTAAACAGTATGACAAATAGCTGTTGATAGGGTTTCGTCTAGCCTGTAGGAAAGTTGTACTTTGATAAAAGGGGTGTGAGAGTTTGGTGGTAAGAATTTAGCGAAGAAAAAAGGAGGAAAAGAACAGCGTGAGTAGATGACTGAGCAGGTACATACGATGTACTAACATTTAATAATAAACAAAAGCTAATAAACGGTACGAGGTCGTTACAACTGAAATGTTCGTACTTTTGCTGCGTATCACTAGGTTTTGGTAATGCTTTGATGCAGTAAAACAAACAAACGGTGAAAGGTTATGGTCGAGTATGAGTTTTTTCTGCCAACTGTACTGCGTTTCTTCATCAGTCTTTTGAGCAGTTCAAATGATTATGTGGCACCACTTCTTACAGACGTTTCTTCTAGGAGTTGACTACTTGACTTTATAACTAGTACCCAACAGCGATTACTTTCATCTACAGCAATTTTGGCATCCTATTGTGCTCATCAACTTAGTTGGAAGAAAACGTGAAGATATATCAGGTTGTAAGTCCTTTCCTACATTAGTGAGTAACATAATTAAATCTTTTCAATTTTTATGGTTCGCTCTTGAAGTGATTTCCCATATATCGAGAAAGCCGTCACAGGAAAGGCACAAATAGCCAGACTTTGCGAACACAAAGGGTGATTCAAGTGACGTTAACGCAACGCCTACCATCCGAGCACAGATTTAATTTTTGGATCTGAGTAAATCCATTTAGTGCGCTAGACTCATCGCCACCTATAGCATTAAAAGTCCTCCTTTTTTCTTACCGTCATAAAACTCCTGGCTACAGTCAGTTAACAGCACACCTTTTTTTTCATCTCGTCACGCTGATGTCATTATTGCATTGTACTAAGGAAAGGTGGATTCAGACATCATTATAGGTTTCCCCTTTTGTATGCCCAATGTATTGGCTACACGCCACATCTCCTTTTTCCAGTAAACCTAGCCGTTTACTTTTCTCCCATTAGTACAAAAATAATCAGTAACCTTTCTCTGCACATCCTATATGATGGAACAGCCTCCTTGGCTATTCTAGTGGAACTTTAAGAAATAACCCTCAGAGTTAATTCAGCATTGGTCAGTTGTAGCGATATATCTATTTCAGCTTACGTAATACTGTTTATCTCCTCGGCAATTTACTTTGAAGAGGGAACTACAACAAGTTTTCCTCCACGATAGTAAACCATAAATTCCTTAATTTACCAGCGAATGTCACTGCTTTTATCCAATTAGAGCGGTGGACCCAGATACTGGCCAGTTACTCATAACTATAGCCGCTTCGACGAAAAAAACGCAACCTCAACTGGGGCCTCTGAACCAACCATTTGGTTCCAGAAGATAATTGAGAGGGTGATAGTCGCTACATTTGTCGTCCAGAAACTAGGCTCGGCTTTGGGGTTGGTCAGGCGCAACACGGGGGCTTGGGGTCGGATTATGATCGTAGAATCATTACTTTTGCCCGAGTGTGCGAAACGCCAGGTGGAGCTAATTTAATTTACATCACTGCTTGTTAAGCCTGAAACTTATGGGTCGTCTCGACAATTTTATGAAGTGTTCGTTTCAGTATGCAGCAAAGGAGAAAAATGGAAGTGAATTTTCAATCCCTCCGCCTGCCGCGTGTGTCTTAAATTTGTTATGTAATGCAGTCGAAACCGTTGACCACTGACATTTGGACAAAAACTGCAGTAGCAGTCAAAACTGAAGGTTTGTAGCTGTTTTTTTACACATGTTTTGTGGTAAGAAATAATTTCCACAGGGTTCACTTACTGTTTGAATGTACATTTGCTGTTTGGCAAACAACTGTTTTGGATTTGGTCGGTTTCATTTTGGGTCTCAGAACTCTGGATACTCGTATCCCTTGGTCGACGATCTGGTTCATTCCCCGTCTTGGAAACAAGTTTCAATAACTGGAATATTCTGCTCCTTCCAATACGTCGTTTGATCGCGGAATTGAGCTGCTTAATGAGTTCATGATGCTGGATCTAGACATAGGAGGAACGCCACACCTCACGATAATAATTTGGAATTTTCTGGTACTTGGTGCGACAATCAGGAAGATAAAGTGAATTTTGATTGTTTTAGTATGGACGGTTCACTTAGCATGCCCAATTATACTGGTTACCAAGCGCCAAAACCTTTGTCGAAGGAAAAAGGCCTACAGAGAGCATTGGGATCATGCGTTACACCGTTTTATGATGCACTGGGAATTGAAGGTAAGACAGGTAGTCATTCTACGGGTAAAACTACTGTTGGATTGCCCGAACCCAGTGATATACAATAAAACTTTGCATCGGATTTGAGCTGTTTTGCTTCGATGGTGAACAACATCCCCTTACCAAGGATAGAGCTGATTCACTTTCATGGACAGTCAAGTCAGTACTAGCTGTTTATGAGTCAGCTCGGAAATATGATAGAGAATAAACTTACTGACAAAGGCTAGATATCGTTCTCTCTTTTACACTTCTGCAAAGGGCAGACAAGGACAGATATAGAAGCGTGAATTTCGCTGCCTGCTGACCCTGGATGTGGTACAGCTAGAGAAATCCTTCGTGATTTGTTTGGAAAGGAGCACACGACTCCTTCATCAGCTATTGATGACTTGGTCAGAAATGGGCAGCCGGTGGAAAATACTTTTGAGGCTATGAACGAGTTTTCTGTGGAGCTTAGGAATAACGCTGTCCTAGGCCGGATATGTTGTGGACTTCAGTTCGCCGATCAACTGGAGGGCTACTACCATTCGGTTTCCTATAGATTTACAAGGCAGATGGGCTGACGTAGCAGACGGGATTTTGGTCGCTGAGAGGGAGCCCTAATTCGAAGTCTTGCTTTGTTCCTTTGAGGATAGGGCTAGAGTAGCTCGGTCGAGGTACGGCCTGTTGATGAGATGCAACTTGGCAAGCGACCGCGTGAAGAGCTCTGGCACGCAACCGAGCAGTAGGTCCCACTGCAATTTGGTGGAAGATACTATTCGTTCGACAAGTGATAGGGCCACAGGTACTACGAGTTGTATCTCATGTCTTGACTCCCGCAGTCAACCTGGATGTCCGAAGCTATTGAAAATGTCAAGCGACGAAAGATCAGTAGTCCAATAACGGCGTCTGCCACAATTGTTTAAAGAAGGGTCGCCTAGTGCATGGTGCAGACAAAGAGGTAATTGATGAGAGTTTCGGTGCAAATTATTTAACTTCTACCGATGACATCTCTAACATCATTTCCTTATTCGACCGGTCACGGCATGTTTTTCACACAGTCTTCGCGCCTGAGATGGGAGATGACAATCCATATCCGTGTCATGAATTTCAGCAAATTTTAATGAGATTGCTCACACTAATGACTTGATAAGTGAACTATTTGATACTAAATACCAGTTCGTAAACTTTCAAAAATCATGAATTTGACGGTGCTTGTAAGCTGGTGTCCCTCATGTCAAACCCGTTAAATGAAGACAATATCAATTATTACCCAAACTTTAATACTCTGTATACTCTGTAAAATAATATTTCCTTGTTCGTTTCATAACTGGCGGCATATCCAGCTGTTTTTAACTGAGTTTAATGACATTCCGTCTGTACTACTCAGAATTCGTAGTCTCGTAGTTATTTTGAGATGTATCAACGTGATTAGGCCTGTAAACTGGCTTCTCTCATGTTAAACCTTTTTGATGTGAGAATAAAACATTTATTTATCCACTAACAGGGAGACCAGCAACTGTTTACAGGTTGTAAGGTTAATGCCTCAAAGTGAACGAAGCCAGGCTGTGCGAGAAGTCGACATAGAGAAGATGCCAGTGGGTTGTACGTTAGGTTTACCCAAATGATACCCAAAGGAGATATTCAGCGATAAGAGTCCGAACTTTGTAGGGGGCAAGAATAAGTTGGGCGGAGAATGGAAACAGACTGATTCACAGTAACTCGCCTGATAATGGAATTGACAGGCAGCGGCAGGCAGTGGGGGAGGGTTCTGGGAACGCATAATTTGTATAATCAACAACTGTCCATCGGCCCCACCCACATCCCTGGTTGTAGACATAACAGCACTAACTTCGCCAAGGCTGTTGTTGCTGAGCGACAACCCAGAAGGATTTGAAGGGTGTACGCATGAGTGACAGTTTTTTGAAGAAACGATAACGAACAGAGTATCTGTCAGAAATATTATGACAACGGTGCAAGTGGACGAGTTCTGAGAGAAAAACCGAATTGTTGACCTAGTTTTGATAGTGTCGGATATTGGAGATAGAAACAGATGGCCTCGGAAACTGATACAGCGGGTGGTGTGAGGTGAAGACAGGTTGGTTGGAAAGGTGGGATTGAAGACAGTAAGGGAAATGCCCGTTAGTGGCACTTGTAAGGTGCCTCCTAGAGGCGTAGGATGAAAGGTATTCGGTAGAGGAACCCCAAGGGGTGCTGCTGTAAGTCCTGGGGGGTCATCGGTGGGGCTGGTGCAGGGGGTTTTCGGGTGTAGTGGTGTAAGCCCTGAGGACCACTAAGGGATAACGCACGGTTGTGTCCATCTGTCTGTTGTGATAAATGTTATTGGATGCTAACGGTTGTGAAAAGAAACTGCAGTTCCCCGATGGAGGGGTGTTGCTTGCGTTTCGATAATGTTCTCGTAATGCATTCAAAAACACTGACCGCTCATTTTGTTTGACTTCATTCAACTTGCCTGTGCGACCATAACGAACCTCTCATTTCGATTAGTGTAACCACTGTAGTTCGTTTTGGGTAGAAACTGCAGTGGCCGTCAAAACTGAAGGTTTGTAGCTGTTTTTTTACACATGTTTTGTGGTAAGAAATAATTTCCACAGGGTTCACTTACTGTTTGAATGTGCATTTGCCGTTTGGCAAACAACGGTTTTGGATTTGGTCGGTTTCATTTTGGGTCTCAGAACCCTGGATACTCGTATCTTCTTTACGTGGTACTAACTGGGTCCGAACTAATGTTGTGTTCAAATGGACTACATAGTGCTCCAACCACCCCATTGATCTAGTCAACTGACGCTGAATTGAAGTCCCTTAATACTACATATCCCGATCGACCTATCCGGAAAGTTAGCTTCTTCCTCCTTACTTTCTTCCCCACTATATGGCACGGCCAAGTTAACGTACTACATCTTCTGTATCAGCTAGTAATGCAATATTTCGCAGATCATACTTTCACCTGTTATAGTTTCTGTGGGTCTCACTGATAATTTTCTTTAGGCGTGAAGACACCGTTATCTGTGCACGTTAGTTTGTTACACTGGTAAAGGACAAGCCCTTGTAAACTCTCCTCCCTTTCATGTGTGTCAGAAGAGCTACTTTTTTGGGACTGTGACTATGTCAAGTCTTTCCAAGCTTGCCACACTATACGGCGCCGCCAGTTTAGCAGAATACCACAAACATTAGTGCATGGAATGATGAAACCACTCAGATTGATTTTTGCGCCTAGATGCTCTTCTGTGCTAGACGTTCACACCAGATGTCCTAGAGACTTGAAATCCTCGAAACAAACAGCTTATGTAAATTCTAAGCTACGTAAACTCTTGAGACGCATCATTTGTAACTTCCACAGCCATAAAACTTGAGTTTTACTCTGTAAAGCGTGGATTTGAACACTTTAGAAGGTTGCTCACTTATTCCCAGTAGCCTTCGTGTAGGCCATAAATCGAAAGTTGAAGGGGCATAGCGTCATCTCACCTTCAGAGCATGAGGAGCTGACTTCAATCTAGGCTTAACATCCTGATGTGGCATGCCCCGATTAGGAGCATTCCAAAGAGGTGACTTAAACTGAACCTCATGTAATATTATGAGTTACTCTGTCAGCACTTGCACCCTCATGGTCTTCAAATCAAGCTGAGTATGACGCTGCGTATGATATGCGTATCCACAAAGTATTGGGTGAAGATGAGTATGGTAGGACGACCCTACGAGTTAATTTTTCCCCGACAAATTCTCTCGCAGTTAGAGTGGGCCGTCAGAAAAAACTGGTATGGAAAGTTCGTTAACACTGCTCCAATCTTTACTGAATAGGCTGCTAATAAATGATGAGTCTATCGCCCATTTAGCCGTCATCTATGCATCGTGGGCTAATGCGGACGTAATCGGATGTCTGGATGCACGAAAGTGTTATTAAAGTCCTCAAGTTCCTCTTACACTGATCAATTTACGGCTGCTTACAAGGTTGTGGGTACTTATCCCTCTCCACCGTA